GATTGTCCATTGTGTTGGGATAGTTCCTCTTTGTCACAGAGATCGGAGAGCTGATGATATGTAAGGATAGGAAGTCCACCTTCAATGAAATGTCCCCTCTTGCCCATTGCCATTAATATTTTAGTATTTATTTAATATATGCTTTACTTGACCATGAGCCATTTTTGCCTGATGCTTTTTTCTGATGCATTTGTCTATGACTCAGCTTTGGCATTCAAGGGAGGGAAAGTTAACCTTGTCTTATTATTGATATTTTGGTCTTCGCAAGAGCAGTTGTGTCTTTATCTATCATAGCGCCCTATCCATAATACACAGTAAGTAAAAGTTTGCCATTTGGAAGGAAACATAGTGGTGAAGGTCTTGATCAACTAGGATTGGAGAGATGAGGTTTCACAATCCCACCCTCTATCCTTATGAGCCTGTAAAGTTAGAAATGCTTGCCTCCTTTGGCTGTAAAATGAGGATCGTGGTGGTACCCACCTCAGTGAGTGTTAAAGAATAATAGTACAGTGCCTGGCATGCAGTAGGAACTCACTAACTGTTTGAAAACCAGCATTCATAAAAATATAGAAGACTTCAGTGTGCAGATTTGTTGTTTTCTATTCATTCAGCTCACTACAGAGAGAGAGATACAAATTGGAAACCAGGGATATACATGGTTTTTAAATCAAATTACAACTAGAGTTATTTTACAGGTAAGGCAGATGAAAGGGGAAGCTAAGCAGACGTTTTGTCATGACTCTGCATGCATCATATTAGTACCCAAACCAATAAAACATTGACCGCCAGCAACTCTATGCTCACAGCACCCATTTCATCTCCCTCCCATTACGTGGTAATGTTAGCATTTGTTTAGGCATTTTCCATATCTATATTTTAGCACATGCTTCCTGCTCAGTCGTAGGGCTTTTCCCCCTGTAAATTCGATTTTCCACTGGTCAAGTTAGGCCATATTATACTGTATGTTATCTGCCACCTTGATCTGGCTGGAGAAATGCCTGGGGGTTTTTCCAACGCAGCCATTTCATAAGGTAGAAATGGATGATGTATCCAGGCCTGTGATTCTTGCTCATGTATTGGAAAGGTTGCTTGGAACTGGTCCCTTGATTGTGTCCGGGTACAAAACAGTCTGCAGTGCCTTGTAGTGGAGCTTCATGCAGTTTGTTTGTGTTGATGGGAGATTTACATATTCCACAGCACTGTGCCTGGTGAGGGACACCCATTAAACAAAGTTGATCCAACTTTCTTTCCTTGCAGAAAGGGTCCTGCTTGGAATAGACTCGCACAGCCTACAGGTATACAGTTTTCTTGAAGAACCGAAGTATTCTAATCTCAAAAATATTTGGGAAGCACTGAATTAGTGATATTTGGTCTTTAAATACCATTCCTCATTAAAAGGAACCAGGGTTCACTCAAGAAATGACCAGTTTTAGGACCAAAGCAGGGAAAATACATAATGAGCTGATGAGGAGGTCTTAACTAATGGAAATGGTAGGAACGTGGCAGTATGACCAAGGAATCTGTTTGAAGTCTCCTATTGGGCAAATCTGAGACAGTTTGGGCATCAGCAATACTGATAGGATGGATTATAACCCGCTGGATACAATAAAAACAAAGATAAATGATTCCTTATTGATATAGACAAATGAAGGAGTGAATAAACTGGAGACGGGAAGGCGATTTCTTACACTAGAATGCCATGAATGGACATAGGAATATGGCAGAGTGAGAAAATCATCAATGGATACTAAAACTGGTAGGTTAAGGTTAGCTGAGGAAGAGGGTATTTATATAATTCAAAATATTTCTACAAAGTACTTTTTAATTACAAAAGGAGAATTAATAATGTTATAGTAGAGTAGCCTAGCAGACATCACCTTAACCATGTGATCAAGTTCAACATCCATTTACTGTGCTTCCTGGCATGGTGCGCTGTGAAGACACAGTATTACTACTGTGGTAACCTACCCAGAATGTACCCTGTAATCTAGTCCTAAAAACCATGAGTCAGGCCCCAATTCTGCACAATAACTGGCCTGTACACTTCACCCTACCAGAGTGAAGAAAGGCTGAGGGGCTGCTCCAGATGAAGGTTGGGGGTGGGAGGGGTCAGTATAGAGACATGACAACTAATGCAAAGTTTGATCATAGATTGGATTCCTGGCCTGAGAACCCATATAATGACCCACAATGGGCTTATTTGGGCACTTGCCAGAAAAATGCACTATAAATGAGATAATAGTGTTGCATCAAAGTGAAATTTGCTAATTTTATAATTATACTGTAGTAATATTTAAGAGAACATCCTTATGCTTAGAAATTATGCACTTAAGTATTTATAGGTGAAGGGGCATATTATCTCCCATTTAGTAGGAAATTACTCAGAAAAAGTCTTGCATGTGGGGAGATAGAGAGGACGCAAGTGGAGTAAAATGTAAATAGTTGGTAGCAGTGGGTGAAAGATAGGTGTGTGCAACAGTTAATCGATCCCTTTATTGCTGCGTTTTCCACATCCTTTCAGCTTACGTGCATCATGGTTTTTCAGGAGGATGATTGCTGGACAGTGGGCGTCACTTACTTTCACACTATTAGGAAGAACACACTTTGGAGGATGCTCTGAGTGTGGCTCTTGAGAGCAGGTACAGAATGTTGATGGGCTACTCAAGGTATTTAGTAGCCACCCAACTCCTTCCAAAGGTACTTTTGGAAAATAGGTTTCTAGCCTTTTCTCAAATATGTCTCATCAAGAATAAAACTAAGATAACTTAAAGTCCATTTCACTCAGCAAAACTCCATCTACTTATTTACTCTCCTGTTGAAGATAGCTTCAAACGTTAGCATAATTCAGTAGACTACAACGTGAGAGGACTAGCCAGGAAAATTGATATTTCCAACTTGTGCTGCCGTTCTTTTTATGAGACATTGCATTATCCTGATGGGTGGAGCCATGACTCAAAGACATTTTCTAAAAATGAATTTTCTCACCCAGTTGTAAATGAAAGTGCCCTTGAAGAAGACTTAAAAGTATTTTGTATCAGACACTATTCAGGTGATGCATTACACAATGCCCCGCCTGGCACATATGCCAAAGAATAAGAAAACCTTCTGTGAACTTACTTAATTTGAGGGCCTGAGTTTTAAAAGGAAAGTGAAGTGTAATTTTCTGTCTGTACTTCTGTGGAGTATCTTCCTTGGGTAGTAGCCATGTACCCAAAGCAATTCACCCAGCATTAAACTGTTTTAATCTGCACCTCATTGAATGGATTTTTCTCAGTATAAATTCACGATGTCTAAAGCTGTCCAAACCCAAATACAACACATTTGTAAGAAGCTGCAGTCTCAGTGGGAATTCGCAGTCTGAGGAAAATAATTCACTGTAAGAAAGAAAATCCTCGAAAAGAATCTACCCATTCTTCTACCATTTACTTGGGTACCTGTGTTCTTCTAGAATCTAGACAGTGTCCTGATTTAGATACCAGACTTCACCCTTCAGAAAAGAAATGTCACCTTGTTCTTATTGGTGAACTCAATTAACATCTTGGTTAAATCAGTCGACAGGACTCTGTTTACCTTTGACCTGTACTTCTGCTAGTCTCTATGATTATGTTTTCCCCACTGGGAATTTATCATTAATCGGTATAAACTCTCCAAACTCCGTCTGGGGTAAGGAGCAGGGTCAATGTGTAAGATTCAGTGGAATCACATTCTTGTTAGAAATTTTAGGATGTCTACCAATCGTTAACTTTACAATATGTGTTGGTGGTAGTAGTGACGATGGTGATGGTGATGGTGATGGTGATGGTAGTGATTGTGGTGGTGGTGGTGATGATGGTAGCAGTGGTGATGGTAATGGTGGTGGTGGTGGTAGTGGTAGTGATCATGGTGGTGGTGGTCATGGTGATGGTAGTGATGGTGGTAGCGGTGGTGATGGTAATGATTGGTGGTGGTGATGATGGTGATGATGGTGGTGCTGGTGGTGATAGTGATTTGTTGAGCACTGATGAGGTCTACGTGTGGTGCTACATACGCTAACTTGTTTGGTCCCCATACCCACCCTACCAAGGGTAAATACTTGATTGTGTACATGAGGAAGCTGATGCTTAGAAATTAGCTTGCTTACCTGAGGTCTCACAGGCAAGTAAATGAGGAAACTGGAATAGAAACCCAGTCTGTTATTTATTTATCATAAATGTGGTCTCAGGAGAATACTCTGTGGTCTCTCTTTGTTCTCTGAATTGTGAATTATCAGAATGTTCAAGCATTAAAATTTCATAATGATTTAAGTTGATTTATCTCTATTCTGCTTTTTGAATAAGAAATCCTAGCCAAATGTAAGAGAAATTATCTAAGGTTGGGCTGAAAGCATCTGGATTTTACATTCTTCCCCTGATGTTTAATCTTAGCCAAGATAACATCAACTTTCTGAAGCCCTAGTTCCTCATTTATAACCGAGTGCAGTAATTTCTGCTCTATCTTCACAGGCATTGTTAGATGGATTGAGTGAAATAATGAATGAGCTAGCTTTTCCCAAACTGTGAAGGCATCATTATTATCATTACCATTATATTCCTTTGTGGAGTCCCTGAAATTCAGGCTATTTCTCCAGGTTACTGAGAGACCCCTTCCATTTCTCACCGTTAGAACGGGCGGTGTTCATACAGATGTGCCCATCTGAGCATTTATAATTTTAACATGTGGACTGAATCTCACAGCTCAGTTTTTTACTTCAACGTGTATAGCTCCATTAAAAATTTGCTTCTTAATCAGGAACTTCCACCATAACATGAGCATCCGATTATAAGAAGGTGCTGGTGTTTTTATTTTGTCGTTATGTGAGAAGATGTGTGTTTTGGTGATGTCTGCTGAAGTAATTTTGTAATGAAAAAATATGGACAGATGAATAATCTTAGTAAGTGGGGAATGGATTCATTGTACTGTTCTCTCTACTTTGGTGTAGGTGTGGAAATGTTACCAATACACTCTTAATTATTCTTTTTCAGATGCAGCTTTTCTTTTACAATCCAGACGACTTTGACAGCTTTCAAACTGCCATTTCTGAAAACAGAATAATCGGAGCCATGGCCATATTTTTCCAAGTAAGTTAACAGTGGCCCAAGTCCCTCATCCAGGGAGTTCTTCGAGTATTTTTTTTTTTTAATTCACCGAATTGTTCTGTGTATAACGAACGCATCTGTTTTCTAGTTCACACCTGTCTAAATGAAAGATATTTCATATTGTCTAATGTGTGATTTAAAATGTAAATAAGTATGTTTAGAAACATAATGAAAATTTTTGCATGAATTATCCTGATTTTATTGCCACTTGACTGGTACACAGATTGAAGAACACATTTATCATCTAAGTTACTTTCACTGCTGAAGTGTTTTGAACGGGTTCCTTCAGCATATTAAGAGGCTGATGTAAAGGAAAAAAGTGATTTTCTTTGGAACAACTTCAAAATTTGACATTATATGCAAGTAGATTAATAAATGGCATCAGTCACTTCTCTGAAGAGACCCCTCTTTACTCGCTCCCAGAAATGCCCAACTGAAGTCCATATTGAGACCATTTCTCAGCTACTCTGCGTATGATTTGCCATCATGTCTTTCTCTTTTTAAATGTGGGCTATTTGCATTAATGAGTGTTGCTGGCTCCTGTATTGATTTTGTTCCTAGGAGCCAAACTTTTCATCCTTCCACGGGTAATGTTGTCGAGACTTGTTAATGTCAAATCAAATTAATATTGACCAAGTAGCCTAGAGAGACCCGGCGCTTTATTGTGTGGAAGGTAACCTGAGCAGTAGGTATGTGACTTGCCTTTCAGTCTTAAAATTTGCCAGAGACCACACACAGGTGTTCCTTTACCAGTGACTAATTATATCTTCCTGAGAAGTCAAAGGAACATCGAAGAAGTCAGCACCTTCCCTGACATGGTCCTTTACCCTCTGCCTTTGGGGCAAGCTCCTTTGTCATCGAGATGGAGCTGCTCGTTTTCAGTAATTTCACTACTCTTTTTCGTATAAAAAAAATGATGGAAAATTCTCTCCACTGCTTATCTCTCTCTCTTAACTACTCTCTCTCCCTTTCCTTCTTTTGAATAAAGGCACAAATTAGAGGAGACTATATGTAGAAAATTGAAAAACTAATATTCTACTCAAACATCAAACACAATAGCAGTGGTTGGTGGTCATCAGCTGGGTCATGGTACTTGTTTTCCAACTGTGGGTTCTGACCTTCTGGTGGGCTGTGAAGTCATGTACATGAGACCTGACCAGCATTTTAAAAGTACTGACATAGAATAGAAAAAAAATCAGAAAATATTAATATGTCAAACATAATGAGCTTAATTATGTTTGTAACACTTTTCTTTAGTTGTTTATATCCAGAGCGACGCAGGGACTATGAACTGGGTCATGTTATAAAATGTGTTGGTTTTATTGTGGTTATCCGACAGATATTTTGGAAATCATCTTTTGTATTGTACATTGGGCTGATCTCTCCATTGTCCCCATTGTTCACCCCACATACTTTTTTCCTGCACTTTTCATGAACCGTAGTAGAGTGTAGAGTTTTAAGAGTGTATTCACTGGAGGAAAAACTGTTTGCTTTGAATCCTGTCTCTTCTACTTAACATCTGTATAATGGCGACTTAGTAATTTAAACTTTCCAACCTCAGTATCCTTCTCTGTGAGGTGGGGTGGCAACTTCTACACAATCAAGATTGTAGAAGTCATTACATGGAGTCCCTAGTACCGGTCCTGGCACATAGTCAACACTGGGACATGACAAATGATATGTGTCCATGTCCATCCATCTGTCACTATAGGATAGAGACCCCATGGTGTGCGAGTCTTCTTTGCAGGAACAGAAGACTGTTCTGGACCCTGTCCTGTTGGCAGCTCATTTGGGTTCTGGCAGGTCCCCTTCTGCTTCTAAGCCATGATTAGGATGCCTTTGGCAATCCTGGGGTCACTTGAAACGTTCCTAAACAATTCCCAGCTATGTGGTTAATCCCTTGTTTTTCTGTTACTGCTTTCTTGTCATGGTGCTTTTCAGGTAGTTGGACCTCTACTCCCCTAGCCCTGCCCTCAAATCTAACCCCATCCTCCCCTGTCGTGCCCACCATGACCAGCTCAGCCAGGCCCTGGGTCATCTTTCTTGTGGGAAAGTGCATTTTACAAATGTTTTTAGGAGCACTAACAGGGCTGGTTCACAGCATGCTCTACCCCAAAGCGTTTTATTTTTCTCATTCTGTAAACTCTTGTTAAATATAAGACCAATTAGTCTCAGGCAGGGAAAGCACGTTGGTGTACAAACCGCAAAACACCTCAGTGGGAAATCCAGGATTTGAATTTTAAAGGATACCTAGGGCAGGACTACTAGCTCACATGCAAAGAAATGTAGATGCATTTTATCTAGTAAGTTCCTCTCTGAATTTTGGCTTCCTGTCCTCTAGACCCAAAATAGCCGGCAGATAACCTGCAATGGGACAGCATTGCTGTGGTGAGCTGCCCCCATAGTTTCCCTTAGAAATGCGGTTGTACATCAGTTCATTTGTACGTCTGAGTTCAGACTGCCATGCAATGGAAAGGGAAGCTTTATTTTTGTGATTTTAATTTCACAGTCCAGTTAGATCCCATACTGTGAGATCTTTGTATTTTGAGTCTTCCCACAGGAAAATTAAATTTGGGAGCTTGATATTTCTCCCTCAAATAGTCAGTTAAATCTTGGTATATATTTCCCTATTCAAACCTGGCATCACACATGTTGGCATTGAAGGAGTATTTACCATCCCTTCAGCACTGATTCAGAGCCAGGAATACTACCAGGTGCGCCATTAGATAAAATACATGGGATCAGCACCTGCCCACTAGGACCCCACAGTCCCACGTGATCATGGCCAGAAAGCGGGGAGTGGAGAAGCTTCCCCACTTGTGAGGAGGCTGTGCTCTGACTTGGTGCCATGAGCCCACCTATTCATTATCCCGAGGGCCATGATGCCAGTGGCCCGAGCTCATGCCTAGGCAAGGCTAAGCCCACACAGATGTTGTAGCCTTGATGCTGACTCACATTAGAATAATTTTTACATTCATTTTTTCATTATATGTTTCTTTTTCCTTCTCATCATGTGCCCATTATTCCATGTAATTTTAGCTCTCTCACTGCCTTTGCTATGATTAGATAGGATGAAGTTCATGTTTCCAAAACAAACACAACCTTAAGGGGCACATAGTTGACCAAACCATAGTTGACCTAGAGTAGAGGTTGTCCACAGGCAGGCCGCTTGTGGCTCACAGGAGTAATGTCTGAACAGCCATAGCATTTACAATTCTTTTCTTTAGTTAAACATGGGAGGTTTTACACATGACCTGCAGGTGATATAGCACAATCAAAATCTGAGCAGAGGCTGTTGGTCTACTTTGAAGGGGCCTTGCTTTCCCATTGCATCAGTCTTCTTCATGCCTTCATGTCAGCATGACCTTCAGATCAGGATCCCAAGCTGGACTCCAGTAACTCTGAGTGGTAGCGGACATCTTTCAGTTGCAGGCAGAGCTGAAGGTCAGTGTCAATGCTGAAAGGCGAGCCAGGTCTTTCTGAGTGCTTGGTGTGAACACCAGTGAAGGAAGGAATGACCGCCTCCCTGTATGGAAGATAGCAAACCTTGGCAGCCATATATGGTTGTGTGCATTTGGGCCCACAGAGCTCTACAGGGTGCATTCACTTCATAGCCACTGGTGGGTGGAATATTTATTACAATTCTCCCACTCATGTTAGTAGTGTGTCTGAAAGAAAGAATGCCTTGTTTTCCAGTTCATATACACCTTCGCACCAGCAACACTCTGGAAGATATAGTGGAAAGTAAGGATAACATTTGATTTTAAAGGATTTTCAAATTAATCATGTTAAGAAACTGGCAAGGGATAAAGACATTTGTTAATCCACTGAAGAAATAATTAAATGCTTGTTTAAGTTATGTAAGGCAAAAATTAAAATGATTATTTTCTGTTTGTTAAAGTAGAATCTCCAGTATTCTTGACCATTAGTCTGATTTGAATTCCTGTAAAAATGTAAAATACCAAAAGTCATTAAAATGCTCCTTTAAAATATTTTATTATTCTGATAATACTCTACCTGAGTTTAAGGTAGTAAAAAATAAGAAAACAATGTTTATAGGAAAGCTAAATATAGCAGTGGAATGATTAGACAATTTGTAAAGGATACTTCAGTTTGAAAATAACTGGAAATATTTTGTTAGCTCTGATTTAAGATTATGGAGTAGAGAGTACCAGTACTCTCAGTGACCTTCCTTTTACGAGTAAGTAGGCATATGTGTTTTAGGTTTGAATCTTCCATCATAACTCTCTGAATTGGATTCTGATTTGTTTTTCTTTTTGATGATCTTTTCTTCACCATTCCTCATGAACACTTCCCTCATTTACGCACCAGAACTGAAATGCCTTCGAACCATGCAACTATCTTACTGACTTTCAATCTGATGCTCCTAGATGCTGGGTAACCCCAAACTTCTTATGGTTTTGATTATTGTAGTTTTTTCAAGAAGTACATAATCATCTTTGAATTTTGGTTTGGAACATCTCATTAATGTTATGGCTTTTGAATACCTAAAATTTTAGTTCTATTTCCTGATTCCATTGAACTCTGGAGTTATAAATGCATGATCCTTTAAGAGCACCTACATTTAGAAACTTTTTGTGATATTCTTTGCGGCTTCCTTGTTAGACCTGTTTGGGTGTAGTCACTTCTGAAAAATTAGCATCAGACACAAAGATATAATATTTTCGTCATGTCTGCATCCAGAGGCCCAGTCAATGGCATTGTTCTTGTACATTTCAGAAATAACTAAATTGCATCCCGTTTTATTTAAAGGTTGTCTGAAAAGACTTCTTTTGAAGACTCAACAGTTCTACCGAGGTTTCTTCATTCAATGTTAACAGTTTTACTTCTACTGGGAGAGTTGAGCCCCTTTGCACCAGTATTTATTTTTTTTAAATTTCTACCCAGAATCTGCCTGCAGTCATTTGGTCTTCCCCAAGGTCCGTAACTCAGTCATTGGCCCCCTGTTCATTTCTGCCCTT